TTTGTTTTAGGGATTTTCGCACAAACTAGACCAATACAAACAGGGTACATGTGTATGCACCTTAAGTGTCGATACGTGTGCGGATCATATCACATTTGTTTTGGGTAGCGTGGAATAAACATACTTTGTTTCGATTTCAGTCTACCTCAAAGTCTTCATGTTGTACACAGAGTTTTTCTGCGATTTCTAAATTGTAAGTTATTTCCTAAATAATTTTTATTATGAAATAATAATTTTGCAATCCTTACAGTTTAAAATGGCACCAAACAATGAGAAGAAGGTGAAGAGAAAACACGTGCAGTTAAGTGTGGTGCAGAAATTAGAGCTAGTCGAGAAGTTGGAACAAGGCATCTCAGCGAAGGATATTTGTAACATGTATGGCATTCACCCAGGGACTCTCTCGAATATCAAGAAATCAAAGCCCAAATTACAAAAGTTTGCTTTAACACACAATATTGATAGCTCTGAATTACATGCTTCTACAATAGGGAATAAAATACGCATGAATTTTGGGCCAAATAAAAATTTAGATAAAGCTCTGTATGAGTGGTATAGTCAACAAAGATCCAGTGGTATTAATGTACAACAGCACCAGTTGAGATCGGAACTTAATGCTCTTATAACACGTATGGGACTCAGTATCAAAGGTACTGTTATGTGGCTGTGCCGTTTTAAAAAGAGACATGGCATTATGGGTTCTTTGCGCGATGCATCCTGTAGTGAATCAGAATCAGAAAAGAAAAACAGTACCGAAGACAAAGTTATTCCAGAAGAACCTATAAAAGTTGAGAATTTGCCTTCTTCGTCATCTTCGCCTCCAACCACTTCTACATCTACCAAAAATTTCGGAGAATCTGTAAAAGTCGAGAATTTCTCTTCGGAACCATGTTTATCTCAAACAGATGTTTATCAGAATTACGTTTGGTCAGAATATGATATTAAATCTGAAGGTTCCCCTTCACCTTGAGATGATAAATCCTCAGATAACAACTAATGACTCGCTATCACTATAGTTACAGCAAAAGTGTCTCTCTTCAACTACTTTGTTAATGAACAAAGAATATACAGGGTGTCCTAAAACCACCGGAGGTCCTCTTAATGACAGATTCCTTAGAACATTTCCAGACGAAAATCCTAATACAAAAGTGTCGAGGCTATAATAGTTTTTAAATTAGAAGCGATTATTTTTCACAAATGATAGGGCTGAAATTTCGCGCGCTCAGGAACGGCGAAATGACAAGTGATATAAGTGCTCCTATGAATATCGTTCTTTTTATATCACTTGTCATTTCGCCGTTCCTGAGCGCGCGAAATTTCAGTCCTATCATTTGTGGAAAAAAATCGCTTCTAATTTAAAAACTATTATAGCCTCGACACTTTTGTATTAGGATTTTCGTCTGGAAATGTTCTAAGGAATCTGTCATTAAGAGGACCTCCGGTGGTTTTAGTACACCCTGTATATAATGTTATAATTTAACAATTTTATATTGTATAGTCCTGTATATCATATTAAAGCAATTTTATGTTAAACGCATTAAGAAAAGATAAAAGTGGCATTTTATAACATTATATACAAGAGAGAGAAATACCTGAAGATGTGTTACCAGTTTCTGACCGTTTACTTGTATGTTATTTCATTACTTTGGATTGGATTATTTGAAATAGGAAAATATTACATTCACGTTGTTTAAATTCTCAAACTGAAATATAAAACACATAACGCAATTCTTATAGTAATATATTTTACGTCTATCATAGTGCACATTTCATTGTGTATTATACTTAATTTCTCTCCTTTTTCCCTTCTAATATTCAATATTAATTCTTATTCCCAATATTTTGCCTCTATTGCGTGCCGGTCCTTAAGCCTTAACTTGTTTTAGGAATTTTTTAACAAACTGGACCAATAATAACAGGGTGTGCGGGTCATATCGCCTTTGTTTTGGGTAGCGTGGAATAAACATGTACGGTAGTGTCTCGCGCCAAGTATAAGCGTAGCTTGAACCGCGCGTGCGAGACCAATGTCACACGACTTTCGAGCGTCTAAAAATTTTCTATGCTGCAGCCAATCGCAAAACACACACTTAAAAAGGTTTTTGTACGACAAATGTAATAGTATCTCAAGGCTGGTATTATTATACATTTGTCACACGAAAAGTAGAATAGTGTATTTTAAACGTCAATCCTGGGCGTCTATACAAGAATTACAATTATAATGTTATTCTGGCATGTCGGTAAATAACCGTGGTAGAGCGTGTCGATAAATGAATAGCGGTGGTACAGAGCGGTGTCGCGAGATGTCGCCGGGCGTCGTGGAGTTTGCCGCGCTGTGGAGACGCGAAAGGCGCCATTGAAGCGCAGTGCGCACGGTGTTGAAAAGGCATTTCGAAGCGTCGGTTTTTCGTGTCGTTTCTTCGCTAATCATATAGATAATCGTAAATTAACGTGTCGCCTGGCGGAAAGAGCGAATCCTCTTTCTTTTCAGCTTTCCTGGCAAAGTAAGTAAGGACGTCGCGTCGCGCGCGACGAGAGAATTCGTCGCGGTCAGGCTAAGCTCCTACTCGCGTTGCAAGTAGAATTATGAACGAAAAGCTAACCAAATGCAAATCACTTTCAGGATGTCGCAAGCGCCACCAGGACGAAGGACGAAGGACAACCCGGGGGGAAAAAATGGAAATATCTCATTATACATGTATGCCTCAATCATGTAATATTTAATTATATCCAATTCTAAAATCGTCAGGTCTTCAGATATCAGACACTTTCATTGAATATTCAATGTTATTATCTGTCGAGATCTAATTGTGTTCTCTTAGGGCATGTAATTACAAATTTAGTTAGACCTCAATAGATACCGTCGAACATTCATGGAAAGTGTCAAATCTCTGAGGATCTGATGATTTTTCGAATTGGATCTCATGAGATACAATTAGCAGGGTTGGGAAATAACTCGTTACTTGTAACGAAGTTACAGTTACATTTAATTTTTTTTTTTTTGGAAACTCTAACTCAACTTCGTCACTTTCTCTCCATCTGTAACTGTGACTTAACCCAGTTACATTTTTTCGATAACCAGTAATTAATTTAACCCGGCAAACACAAAACGTTGCAGCAACGTTGCGACAATGTTGTAACATTGCTGTAACGTTGCTGCAATATTCTGTGTTTGCTGGGAATATAGTTACATTTATAGTTCTTGGATTGGTACTTTGAGGACATTAATAGTTACTTTATATATATTTTAAACCTCCACACAGATCGCATTAGACCTTGCATTTTTATCCCAGCAAACACAGAACATTGCAGCAACGTTGCTGCAATATTCTGTGTTTGCTGGGAATATAGTTACATTAATAGTTACTTTATATATATTTTAAACCTCCACACAGATCGCACTAGGCCTTGGACTTGCGTATAAACGCCTCTATCGACACTCAATATACAATTCAAATGCAGATTTGATATTTGTATTTTCATTGCAATTAAGAAAGTAACTGCAAAGTAACGATTCGTTACTTTTTGCGTAACTCGGCAACTGTAACGCGTTAGTTTTCAGAATTGGCAACTGTAACGCGTTAGTTTTCAGAATTGGTAACTTGTAACTGTAACCAGTTACATTTTTAGGGGGGAAAAACCTGTAACTGCAACTAGATACTTTTATAAAGTAACTTTCCCAACCCTGACAATTAGATATTACACGATTGAGACATATGTAATGAGATCTTTCCCCCTTTTTTTCCCCGGGAAAGGAGGACGAAGGACGAAGGACGCAAAATCAGGACGGCACGTTCGTCGGGCGCGGCTCGGTGAGCAATGTATAATATTTCGCGGGTTTTTCTCCAAGTGTCCTGCTCGCGATAGGGCGCTTTACGAGCGTCCTCAATTGCTGCGAAATAATTTGTTTCGCCGAACTGCCGACGCGAGAATTATGGTCGGTTATGGTTGGTTATTGCGCGCGCGCGCGCGCATGAATATATACTATATCCTATATAGAACCTCATATACTCCTTTTCATGAGTTTCAGAGGCGGGGGGGAGGGGGGAGGGGAGGGGACGGGACTCGTATGAATACGAACGGCGTACGTGGCCGTGAAGGCGTCTGGTATACGCGGTGTCTTCGAGCGAATGCATTTTTCGCCGCGCCTGCATTCCGCGCGAGTTCGCTAGGTTCTGTAAAAAACGTAGCGTGTAAATTGCGATGAGAAGAGCCTTACGTCCATTTCTGCCGACCTAGATTAACTTCAATCTCGGTTGGTAACTCGCTCTTTATCTTTTTCTAAAAATTAGATAAAGAATAGAAAATAAATTAAGCCGGGGTTAATCTACGTTGGCGGAAGTGGACATTGGGGTCTGAAAATTTCGAGTTTAGGAATTTAAAGTTTCTGAAGTGGATTAAAAGTGGTATAACATGTAGTTCCAAGAATTAAAAAGGGGTAAAGGCAGGTTAAACCGAGATTAAAATTAATCTACGTTGATAGAAACGGACATTAGGGGCTGAAAAATTTTAATTTAGGAATTGAAAGTTTTCAAAGTAGATTAAAGATTATACTGTATAATTTTAATACATTTACGCACGCGTATTCCCGAAGATTCGAGAATTTGAAACCGTCAAGATATTAAGTCTCGAATGAAATACTTGAGTGTTTCAACACTGAAAAAAGAAGTATTGAAAAAGTGTTGAAGAAAATTTTTCTTGATTCAACTGCCGCGTTCGCGGACTGTCGAGCAAATGTCTATTAGTTCATGTAAATGTTTGTTAATTTAAAAAAATTAATGCTTCAATAAATTATCTACGTTTAATTAAGAATCGTGTACATTTGCACTAAAAAAATACTGTCACCTAAATGGGTTCGGTAAAATCAACAACTTTTTTCTCAGTGCAGGTACAATTAAATCTAACAATTTACATGACAGTCTGAAAGTATGATAGAAACGCAACGATTGAATAATTTAAAGAAACGCCGCGTACGTTTGCGAACTGGCGCGAATTCGCGAGCGAGATACGCGACAAATCGTGGACACCTGGTATAATCGCGCCGCCACAAAGAATCCATAAAAGGTTAGGCAGGCGCGTTTTTTTCGTACCGGCACCGAAGTAGACACTTCAAACCGCGACACCCTCGTGTCTCCCCCGCGAGCACAATAACGCGCCGCTATTAACCGCGAGGTTGTATTAAACACTCGAAAAAAGCTTTCATGCACTTAACGGCAAATAATGTACCGAGTGCTACTCGGTGGCGGTCGTTCGCTTTTTCAAAAATATCTATGCCGATGATAGATCGTACATTGCCGCGATCGAGACTCATCGGGACCACTCGAGGAGTCGAACGTTTTCGCCAAATTGTTTTATAAACCGTACGGAAATTTACGTACGAAGTCCAAACTCCCTCGTAAAGCTCGGAAAGAAAATTTAAGTTCGTTTCTTCTTTGAAAAATATAATTTACTTAGTTTAAAAAATTGTTTAAATAGATTTACTTAAAATTATTTTTTTCACTAAAGTAAATATTTATTCTATTTAAATAAAAATATCAAATTTCAAGTAAATCTGTGTATTATATTAAGTAAATTAATTTAAATCATTACATTTTCTACACATTCAACTAAAGATTTCATGAGATAGAGAATATTATTTATTAAATAAAATCATCGTTTTTGTCAAATAAGAAATCCAATTTTCTTCGCTGTAAAACTTATATCTTAGTAAACATTTTACAGAATTAAAGTACAATTTAAAAAATTTTTAATTATCTATTCTTCGATATTTAATACATACTTAAATTAAAGCAATGCATGTTTTAATTTGTTTATTATTTTTTAAATTTAAGTTAATAAGCTATTAGGTGCCACCTAATGAATAATTTTCTTGAGTTTTTTTTATTAGTGTATGTTAGTTTTTCTACCTCTCTTTATTTAATGACCTAATGTCTGGAACAATAATCGAACGCCATTGTATTTTTCACTTAAAATTTCTCAAAGAAGAAATTAACTTTTTTCTTCGCGAACTTCACGAGGGAGTGCGAACTCTGAATTCTCGCGCTTTTTTTTCCAGTATTCGAACC